GTGCTTTACTGTTTCCATCATAGGTATACAGTACACAAAGATACATTCTTCGCTACCCAGTAAAGCATTCCTGAGTACAACTTTATCATTAGCTCTTGTGTTAATATTGCCTTGCCACAACAGCTGGTGAAATATTCTGCAAATAGTAATATTTCATTCCTGCGTGCCACTGCTAAATTACTAATCAGCACCTAAGGACTGACAGAAACAAAGACAAATTGCTTAGCAGGCTATTCAGACACAGATGCAATTTGAAACCTGCCTTAATTGGCTACAGCACTCCTTTAAGACATAATTAAGAAGTAAGGACTGCTCTGTAATTACACGATACACCATGAACACAAACTCACCACCCTGCTCAGAATAAATAATGATATAATAAAGAGTCCTGCATAGACAGATACAAGGAATCATAAAATTTACAGTACATCCACAGTGCCAGGTGCACCTCATCACAATTAAATTATTTGTGTTTAGCTATAACTTTGGGTACAGTACATTCTTTCCCATTTATACTGTAGGTTGATTTAATATAAAAGTGTGGAGAATAACAAGGTGCAGAGATGCTATTTATAAGCGTATGCTTTTTAATGTTTCTTGTTCCTGAAACAGACCTGATGCCATCAAAACAGGAAGGGCTCATACTGTCCAAAAATCTTTCCAAGGTGCTAATAAACTCTGTTTCTGATACTTTTCTTTTACCCCTTCTGGTTCAATCTGCAAACTGCATCTAAAACATCATAATCAAGCCCTTTCGGGAAAGCTTCAACTTGATGACATTTAATTACGAAGGTTAAGGTCCGTGAGCCTTTAGGACAAGGTTCATGGGGTTCATTTAGGTTCACAAGGCTTTTCATTAGGATGAGGCTTCCGTTAAACCCCTCAAACAAAATGTGTTTGAATTTGCTGGTGTGTTTAAATTAATTGTGTACATAATAATGTACATTTATTATGAAGCCAGCAAGAGAAGGCCATTTGGCCCACTGTGGTCCTTTTGGCTGCTGAGAGATATGTGATCAACACATCTCATCCAGGCACATATATGAAAAGCAGCAAGGGTTTCATTTTCAACATTTTCACCAAGGAAGCTGGTACAGACTCCTTCACCCATTGGTGTGAAGTCTCTCCTGCGTACTTGTGTCCATTGGTTCGCTTTTCACTGTTGAATAAGAAGTAGCCAACTGGGCTGGCTTTGTCAGGGCCTTTGAGGACACTGAATCCTTAAGTATCCAGGTTTGAGTCTAAACAGATTCAGTGTGTAAAGTCCCTTCAGACTACAATATTCCTTTAAAACCCAGGAACTGATATCACTGTCCTACTCTAATGATTGCAGTGCAACAAAATGTTTTTTGTATCGAGATGGCCAAAATTGTACACAGTGTTTTTACAGTGGTATATACAATGCATTGTACTATTTTAATATAGCATTGTAACATTATAATATAACTGACAGTCTTTTTTAGTAGCCCCTTCTAGCTCAGCGTTTCCTGCATTACACCTAAAGTTCACCTGAAAACTTACCTGAATGATGAAAAAACTCTGGCCACCGATTTTTTAGCCTTCGATTGACTTACTCTTGGGATGTGCCTTGGGCAGAATATATTTAAACCTTTTCCAGCCCTCCTCCGGTGATTCTGTATCTATCCAGTCCCATTCCACTTTTCTTAAGCATTGTCTCATGAGCAAGGATCCCATGTGCACAAAAACTAAACAATACACAATCTATAATTTGCTCTTTTTTTTTGGAAATTTCCAGTATTCTTTTGTAGGTCAAGAAAACTATCGTTTATGTAATGGGATCAACCTGGGACTTAATTATCATCATTTTCACAGCTGTCCTCTCCAGAAAAGAACTTCATCAGTCTCTTACTAGCATGCTGACTGGTAAACGTGTGAAAGATAATGTTCTAATTGTTCACCATACCTATTACCAAGTGTTACCAAGCGTTAATGAAAACAGCCCAAGGGCTTCAACAGATAACATATTCCCTATGTTATTTTTTCATTTACAAGACAATGGAGCCTTTTGAGCGCCACGTTTTTACAACACTACATAATAAAGCAAAATAAAAGCAGACAACAAAAGTTGAGTAACAGCTGCTTCTTTATGACAAGTCTTTAAAGTTTGAAGACGACATTTCATTCCACATCCTGACCACATTTTAGCCTGATGGTGCCAGAACCTGGAAATGCATCCAAAATGGATATCAAGAGGTGTCTCTTTATGGAAAGGCTCTTGGGATTATTGAACAAGTGACCCAGCAAAGATGTTGAAGTCTATACCTTGGCTTCCATCAATAGTTAGATGAAATCCTTTGGTTTTTGAGACATTCAGGCATTTGACATGAAAGGGTGGCCTTTAATTTCAGGAAGAACTCTCAAGTCTCCCACTCCAACCTGAACCAGAGGTGAATCAGTGGATCTGGGAGATAAATATAATATTTGAGAACTCCTAAATTGTGAGGCAAACCTTGATTTTATTTTCAAAAAAGGGCAACAGCATTTATTTTTCCTAAGGTCAAACGTTTTAAGGTCGATATGTATAAATGGATCATGTTTTAGTGGTCTTCTATTGAATCGGTTTGAACTTGCACCCTGATTTTCTGGTCTGGGAATGTGAAACTGAGGAGAACCAACTGCGGAGGATGGTCAAACCATGTCAGAAAGAAAGATCTTTCGGCCCAATCCCATGTCTGTCACAGGTGAGTTTCAACTGAAGCACATTCTGTTGTAAAGGACCCTTAACATCCTTTGTTTACTGCATTCCAATTACTCCACTTACTGTAGAATGCACTACATATTTCCCAGTTTAAAAACAAATAGGTTTGAGTTATCATTTACACCTGTGGCTATAACCGAGCTGAAATTATTTTATTCCATATGCGTATGTTTATTGTTTCTGGGTCTTCTTTATATTTTCTGGTGCTGCAAAACAAACTGCCCCTCTTTTTCTAAGGATCAGTTGGCCACAAATTACCAAAAGGGCTAGATCCCAAAAGGTGTGAAAATCACTATATTAACAAAATTCTATGCATTATACACAGTACAGCATATGCAAAAAACATGTAATTGAAAAAAACAGTGCTAAATTGTGTTTGTCATACACGCAATGCTTCAAATATGTCTGAAAGCTTTCAAAATTAAGAATTATGGATTCAACTTTTGGTGCCATTTTGAGTCTAAGATTTACTAATGAAGATAACGCAGGAAAGGGCATGTGGTTTTCACCATGTTCACACAGACTGGCGCTTGAAGATTTGCTAAAACGTAAAACCAATTCCCTTGCAGAGATGGGTTATCTTTTTTACCTGTCCACAGTTTTCTGTAAAAGAGCCCTATTTCAATATTAATTCAATTAGCTCTACCGACACCCAGCCCTGGGAAGCAACACAGAGGATTTAGTTTGGGAAAATCTGGAAATTATCTCATGTTGATGCTGCTGGTGTTCTGCTGGACATGTGCAGTAATTAGTTAAGAAGAGCTTCGTGATTAATGAGCATTAAAGTTGTGCTGCTGTACTACAGTAGCAAGGCTCATCCTTCTATTTCACATAAAGACATCCCCTCAGCAAAAATATCATCCCTAGTCTGAATCTAAAGCTTTTTCACAAATAAACATGTGTCGGCTACACTTAGATTGGTAAATGAAGAGCTACTAAAGAATGCTGAAAAATTACTGTGACACTTTTCAAAACTAAAACATGCCACTTGTTTCAGCACTTGTTAGTCATTTCTTATCTTCCTAAATGGCATAAGTTTTATAAGCAGATAAAGATAAAGACCAAACCTGTATGCATAAATGATGATCACACAATATAGCCACACAGAGTTGTCTTAGACCAGTGTCAACACTCGGGCAATGAAAGTGTGTTTGCCTCATGCCTCACAGCACACAGAAGATGTGATAACATCCCTTAGGGTCATCCAAAACATTTTGCCATATTACCCTAGAGTGTAACAGGTCTCATAACGCGAGAACAGAAAGCGACATCACCTCCCAGGAGTCGACACATTTTTATTTGGCTGCCACTTTTAATTCTAAGCGATTTACTTTTGCACCCATTTATAGAGCAGGGAATTTCACTGGAGCACTTTGCCCATGGAGACAACAACAGGATCACTCTGGGATTTGATCCTGCAACCTTCCAGGGAAGAGTCCAGATCCCACATCGCTGCTCCACACTGCTGCAAAGAGGATTTGACTCCACCGGGACATGTGGAGCAGTCAGTCTTTTGGTGCGTCGGGCTTTTCTGCTACACACGTGGGCTGTGGGACTCACAGGCTGGGAGATGCTTCCGAGAGATAAATCCTTTTTAGGGAAGAGCTCTGCTCTCCACAGCGGTGCCATGACTTAGACCACTGAGTTGTGCCTTTCAGCCTCGGAGGGCGGTGCCGAGTTAAGAGGTTGAGAGGGAGTCAGTGTAACGTGCCTCCTGGCCTTAAAAGAGACTGGCATGGAGACGTCACTTGCCTGGGACTCCCAGCAACATTCGAGCCCTCTGTGGTGAGAGGTCGGTCTTTCCGCACAGCGCGTTTATCTACTGCGTTGCTATTGGGCTGTTCTGCTCTGTTCAGACACTTCCAGAGGCCTGACAGACGTTGAGTCTCGGTCAGATACAGGAGGAGCAGTACACAGAACCCGCAAGCATACAACAGACACAGGTATTATAATGATGATTCTAATGATACAAATCAACATCTGATGCATGATGGCGAGTCTTCCAGTTGTTGCACGTTTCTTTTTCAGAAAACGAATATAAAGGAACCTGCCGGATTGACTTAGTTGCATATTAGTGTGTCTAAACAATTTTTTTAACAGTTTGAAAAAGGTGACACGACTTAATGAAGAATACACGGGATCCCCTGGGGCAACAACAGTTTGCATCTCTTCCAACATCTCTGTGCATCACATTAGCTTTACATTTACGGTAAATGGGAGCGGCAAGCGTAAGCAGGACTAAAAAGAAACGCGGCACACCGGTTACTAAAATCAGACTTACCGTGAGCATCCCGGTAGTAGGCATGGGTGACACTGCGAAACCGTTCTTGTCCTGCAGTATCCCAGATCTGCACAAGAAATCAAAATAAAAGTGGAAGTCGTACAGTAACTTCCGAGCTGCAAACCGTAATTTCTTAGGACGCATTTACGGTCTGTAATGAACAGTCAGTGGTTCCCCTACAAAACTACAGAACTCCTGCCCTGCAACATAAGTGGAGCAAGTGCAAACTGACATATTCGGTGTCGTGTTCCATGAACATGTGGAGGGATTGTTTATCACGGGAAGTTACACTATTCTAATTGTTCACTTTGACCAATGACTTCTAAATGAGTCAAAAGTATGAAATAAACGCACATTCAGCACTCGAGGAGATGCTGAACAGGACAGACGGTCGCCATTAAAGCTTAATATTTTAATTAGCGGGTAACTACATCTGCGTAAACTTGCCACAGGTGTTCCACGTACAGTGCTAACAGAAGGCACGTATTCATCAGCGTGTCTTTAATAAGGTCATTTAAAGGAATGCCAGTGCAATCGAACCCAAGTAACCGAAGATCTAAAGATATGGAAAGAAAAATAAAGATCTAAGCATTCAGATTAAATTGAGACACGTGTGATATGCAAATCCGCGTTTCCCAGTATCAATACACGTTATACATTTATTCAAGATCGATGCTACCGTATAATAACATGCCAAGTCTGAAATCTGAACTAGCGTTGAATATAAAGTAACTGCACGACTACTCCAAGACGCAGAACTACAAATCAGGTCAGCAGGACATTTGATTTAACTGTTTTTCATTTCTTATTTCTCCGGTAAGACACATGATTTTACACATAGGGAAGTGTTGGACGTCTGCAGCCAACTTCTCATTTGTCATTGGGATCCTTTATTTATAGCCCACGGGAGTTTATCTGAGTAAACGTGTATTTGCTTTTTATTTCTAAAAACAACATTTTGAATCGTCTCTCAAAATACTGCAAATACATGTTGCAGTGAAACTGTTTTGTAATAAACAATGTAACGCAATCAACAGCACTTTGGCCAAAAACTGCACAACAGGTGAAAAATATTTATACCAGCAAGATCAAAACACAACACTACTGACTATGACAAAACACGCATCTCCAATCTTATTTAAACACGGCCATTAAATTTGTTTTCACTGCAGTGAAACTGCTTTCTAATAAACAAATAGTGTAATGCTGACAACAGCAGTTGAAACAGAACCTGCACAACCGGTGAATAATATACAGTATATTTTTACCAGCAAAATCAAAACGCAACTCCACAGACTATAAAAATCATGCCGTTTTTTTTATATTTGTTCAACAACTTCCAAATTGCTATCCAAGGTAGTACACATTTTAGAGAAGACCTAGAAAAAGAATTTCACATCCTGGGTGTGCCACAATGTGCGAAATGGACTTTTGATGAAAGACCATAAAATACACCTGTGTTTTCCTGACGTGTTTGTTCTGAATATTTCTTTCTAATGTGTGTATCCTTTCCAGGATCGCATTGAGCTAGACTTCTATTTGGGATAGGGGATGGATAAGAAATCAGACTTGGATCGTTAAGTTTCCAATTAAGGTTTAACAAGATGGGCCATTTAAAGAAAAGCTAGGTTTTAAGAACAATTTCCAAGTCTTCTTCCACAAATGCAGTTTGAGTTTTTTTTCCTGCTCAACTCCAGAACCATAAATACACATTTATCTATTTTTTATAAGTACCCATCCTTTATAAAAATGAATAAAAACCACACAGGCAGTATGTAGGCAGATATTTTGACGTCTGCATTTTTCACCCACTCAAATCAGGTTGGAATAAGCACTACAGATCTCTATGGCAGTGATACTCACACAGCTGATCAGACAGAGGCAACTGCCAGGCAGAACTACCGGTAGTTGAAATTTAATGGGCAAAGACTTGCAAAGAGTATGAATTTAGATCAGCATAAGCAATACTCCAGTCGATTAATAATCAAGAGGAATGCTGGCAATTAAAACTTCCAAACCGGGAGAGAGCCCTACTGCACTTCCCTCATAATTACATGATGCACCATACAGTGGTAAACGAGCAAGATGTCTTTTTGTATAATTTAAGCCTAGAAGGCTGAACTTTCTGCACCTTTGATTGCGATTCAGAATTATTACTTACAGCCATCAGACAACAATGAAGCAGCAGAGTGCCTGCACAAGCAGATTAATTATATGTAGAACTATTTTTGTGAGGCACCATGGACCGGTGACCTACTGTGCCCAGTATTGAATGTCTGATTACATTAATATGGAGTTTAGCTTGTGAGAAATTATGCATCATCTTTAGAAAACAGATTTTAAGTGGGACTCAAGTAAAAACACACTGGGAAGGCCTGAGCTCTTCATCCAGACATGGCAGGCGTGAGTCTGTGTTATGTCTCTGGCTTAATGTCACTGGGTTTGCCCGTGCCAGGTGGTGGCACACTGTTAGGATTAGAATGCCAAGGCACTCTTGAATCCCACTCAAGCAGTGACCCTTGTGCCTTCTGGGCACTTCTGGACACCTGCAGGAGCTCAGCAACACCACTGACCGACATATTTATCCTCTGATCTGTGCTCACCCCCTGATTGGTCAATTCAGAGTTTGCACTGTGACAAAAGATAAGGAGTCAATTAAGAGTCTGTTTGTAATTCCTCGTGGACCCCGTGTGGATAGGAGGGCTGTTACAACATCCCCAGGCATTGAAACACAATTTGTCGATTCTACAAAGAAGAACATGCAAACTCCACAACTCAGAAACCCACCCATGACCAAACTGAAGAGAAGCAGTTACAATTAATTCAATCCAAAAGCTCACAAAATAAAAAGGTACTGTTCTCAATCGGCCCTAAAAGCCTTAGAAGAGAGTCAATCTAATTCTTGTTGAGCTCATTGTAGTCACTGCCTAAATTACTGCTTCTTGAAAACAAAAGAAGTTGTGCAAGTCTTACCTGTAGCTTCACCTTCACCCCATCGATGTTCAACACCTTGTTCTGAAAAATAAAGGTTGAATTAATGCACTGAATGCAAAGGAACCATGAGATTCACGAGGATTCAGCAGTGAGCATACAACCAGACTGGTCTGGTCCCCAAGGACAGGCAGCCTGGTCATTAATAATATAAAAAATGTACATTTTCAAACTTACAATTGCCTATTTGTTTCTACTGGTTTATGAAAGTGTTCAGTAATGTCTGCCTGAAATTACCCACATTCTATAATAATGGCTTTTCCAGTCTCAGTCGTTACCTGTTAATTCCTCAAGGGAACAAGAAATAAATTCTGGGTCAAAAAAGAAAAGGATATGAATGCCCTTACAAAGGAGTCTTTCTGCCAGGATGCATTTTGTCATGTTACACTGGCCAGCTCAGCTACCTCTGAACAAAAGAAAAAAACTCTAGACATTTGTATCACTACATTAAACTGCAGACTTAGAAATAAAAAGGAACACCTTCACACCATTTCAAGGGGCACATGAAGTTTGTGTTTTAAAAAGAAAAATGTATAAGCATCAGTAGACTGCTCACCAGTTTGTGTTAAGTGCATCGTTTTTCACTTGTGTGCTTGACAAAGGACCAGATACTGTGTTATATCCGAGATACTGAGGTGATAATCACTATTGTAACTAATGTGTGAAGATAAATTATACTATTAGGCAAGTTACACATTCAAAATGTACACAACAGTTTCAGTATACTGTGATGAACAGAACAATGGGAGAGCTAGACTTTTGACAACACACAGTTTTGCCATTCCCAGCAAAGAAATTACTATATGCCTGACCTAGACTTCAGCAACATTTTTGCTCAAAGCTGTAATGTACTGCTCCCAAAACATCCTACCCTACCTTTCACTTTCTACCAATAATTTCTCTCTCTCTGGTGCTTTACCCAAGTGTCTAAGTACAATTTTTTTTTGTTTTGAATTCAAGTAAAATTAAAGTGCAAAGCTAGCAAAAGGTCTTAAGTTTTGTCAAGTTCTGCAAATAGAGTATGCTCCGGCTTCCCGGCACACCGTATGGTATAAAGTAGTTTGGCGAATGACATGACTTTAGGTCAGTTGAGAGCAGATCTCTTTCCAGTAAAGTTTTGTAGAGGATCCATTTGTATATCAGGGCATCTAATGATAATGTGATAATGTTTCTTTATTAGCCCTATACAATTTCTTGCATTAGGAATGCGTCTTTTCGCATACCCCAGCTTTTTTTCTCCATGGAGACACAGACACAGAGACAGGGAGAGAAGCTTGGGGTCAGAGCGCAGGGTCTGCCATTGTACGGCGCCCCTGGAGCAGTTAGGGTTAAGGGCCTTGCTCAGGGGCCCAACGGAGTAGGATTCCTCTGCCGGCCGCGGGAATTGAACTGGCAACCTTCCAGTCACAGGCGCAGATCCTTAGCCACAGAGCCACCGCTCCGCCCAAGCGGAGCAATATCTACTGGGGCAATATCAGTTAAGTACTCTACCCCAGGGTACAACAGCAGTGCCCTTCTTGTACACAGGAGCCTCAGCACTCTCTGTGAGGAGTTTGCATACACTGGTTGGGTAACTGGCGTCTAGGAAATTTGGCCCTGGTGTGAGTGTGTGTCTCTGTCTGTCCCATGCGGGGTGTCCCCCACTTTGTGCCCATTGCTAGCCAGGATTAGCTCTGGTTCACTGAACTGGGACCCTGAATTGGAAGAAGCAGCTAGAAAATGGAACGATGAATAATCAACTACAGTAAAAAGTTACTGAAGGTTATTTGAAAAAAAAAAACTTTGCATCTAGAATGCTTTTGAACACCATGCCCACACATGCACATCCCACTAAAAATCCAGGTCCATCACACACTAATTTAACCTAGTTCTGACATTGATTAATTTAGGAATTTCTGCATTGTCAGCAATGAGTCAGTCCTGAGTTTTCACAACTATTTAGCATCAAAGAATGCTGAATTAAAGGAACACGAGCAAGCCTGTGCTTCTTCACTCTGGGGCTTGCATTGAAGCCAAGCTGTCCGCTTACAGCTTTTATTTTTCTAGAACAAGGAAGAAGCCAAAGTCGCTGATTCTATGTAGATATTCCTATATTCCCAATTTAGGTTTTTACATTTTTTAGAGATTTCTCAAAAGGCCTGTTTCCAGAAACAAACAAAAGTTATTTTGGAGCCTGAATACCAATAACTAAGAGAACAAAAATGGGTGTGTGACTATTAATCAACACTGTGATGATTGTCGGAGTGCATTGCATCTGATGTAATTACTGCCCAAGACCTGTGTCGAATAAGGTCGTCTCATCTCAAGCAAAAAGTTTCACATGTAATTACCGGGAACATGGTAGGGCTTGCAATAAATAAATGCCTGATAAAAAATAAAATGATAAATGTCAAAAGACAATCAAGCCCAGTTCAAGTAAAGAGAGTTTAAATTAGTCCAAAACACTTATACTGCAATGTGTCTAAACACTGGTAGACAAATAGAGATACCTTTTGCAGAGTCAAAATGTATGTTTCACCAATAACCCAGACATTTGTCCATTCATAATTATATACAAACACACCCTGAGATAGGCCTAATATAACTTCATTATTTTAATCAAGCCTGACAATGCACTCTGTGAAAGGAATAAAAATGTCCCATTCCAAATCGAAATAAATGTCCCCATTTGTTTTTGTTTTTCATTTGTTTGCTTACTTCTGGTTTTGTTCTTTATTTTGATGTTATTTGAAATGCAATAGTTCCAGTCTGTCAATGTTCAATAACTGTCTGCAGCTGAGATTCTGCAGTAGGTCTGTGCATTAAAAGAAGAAAACAGGACTGTTTGCTTTCATTTGATACAAGGAAACCCCCCCAAAAAACTTACTTCACATTTTGTACAAATAATTGGCCACATCTGATTCAGGTGATCTTCCCATCTCACTGCCCAGAGATCTGTTTGATTTTTGGTTCTTTTCAAACAAGTGAATAAAAACTTCATACATCCATGTACTGTAAAACCAGAAAGCAACAAGCTGCAAGCAGCATTTGTGCATTTTACATTTCATCACCTTTCATACACTCAAGACGTATTGTGATTAAAAGTTAAGCAATGTTTAAAAACAAGAATCATGACTTAATGACATGAAACACCTCTCAAAATTAAATCTTTAACATCCTATAATTACTAATTACTATACATGTCCATTACAGGCAATGTTTGTATAAAACTGTAAGGAAACAGCCTTAACAATATTCAGCACTTATTCTATCCTTTCTGCCAGACCCATGCATATAACCTGAAAGATAAATATATTAGATATATTAGACCAGCTTTTTTTCCTTTATCAGAGGGTACCTAGTAAATAGATTAATTCCATCCTAAGCCAGTATCTTCTGTCATTTCTGTCCTTTTTTAAAGCTACGATAACAGTGCCATTTTACTGTCCCTGAAGTAGCTGTACTAGCTGCCTTAAGGTACTATCCTTAGAACAGCGAGAGAAAAGACCTTATGCATGACAGGTCTGCAAAACACATTTTCACTATATCGGTTTTACTGCTTATCCCAAAGTTCACCTTCACTGACAAATTGCATCGTGGCATTTTATGACCAGCTTCTACAGTCAAAGACAGAAAGCATCCATTCTCCAGCATAAAATACGTAAAACAGGAAAAATGAGTGCAAGATGGGTTGCATTCAGGTTTTAGAAAAGATCAACGTACAGAAAATGCAAGCCTATGAATATAATGTTCTTCTTGAAAAACTACAATGCTAACCCAAGGCACAAATTCACCACAACCTATAGACTTCAGTAATGAGCTAATATAAGAAGCTAAGCTTATAAGACACACAATACACAAAACAAAAGATGTCACATTCTAGTTGTCAATTATATTTGCATTTATATAGGGAGGAATTTTTGAGTAGGGACTAAAGGCTGTTTTATTCCACAATCAGTTTAGAATGTAAGCGTAGCTGTGAAGGACTCTTTATTTTATCAGTACCTAATGCTTACCACATCAGGGTAGCCCACCATTGGTAATTATGTCTGCCGTGTTGTATAAAATGGTTTGAATTCTGGAACTCATTCCAGCCGTAGTAGTCTGGAAATACTAGTTTGTATGAGCTACTATATGTCTTGCATGCTTATCCATCCATTTTCTAACCACTTCATCCAATTTAGGGGTATGGGGGAACCAGAGCTTATTTCGGTAAGCATCGGGCACAGGGCAGGGTACACCCTAGGTGAGACACCCCTCCATCACAGGGCAGACACACAGATACACACACTCACGCCAAGGGCTATTCTTCCACAATCTACCAGTGTGCCTTTGGACTGTGGGAGGAAACTGGAGCACCCAGACCAGTCATGACCTGCAGGGTCTCCTGGTCCTGTTATGGTAACTTTCAATGCTCAGTGATTATAAGGTGTATTAAGTCAAAATTGGGTTAAAGTGGATAAGAAATTAACCTTAATTAGTACAAATCTGCATGTCTGTTTTCTAATGTTTAAAAAGGAATGCTTCCTGTAAGGACTAAAGGTTATATCTGCTGGATATGAGCAGGATTTAATATCTGTACAAGTGGATACTTTCTCTCCTCTATGCGTGGCTGTCCTTGGGGGCTTTAGGGCCCAGGTTATAGAAAAACTCTGAGGCACCCTAACTGAAGAAATTTAAGCAGTTCAGAATTAGAAACCTATAAATTAAGCTGACCTGAGGCCAGGTGAGTTGTTCACTCCTTTTTAGGGTATGTTAATATTCTTTTTAAAACTTGTTGTCAAATTTTAGACCCTATAGTAGCCAACCACCTAATGCTTTTCAAATAACCCATTTTGATAGCTTGAAAGTTTTCAAGACATACCCAACTGACTGGGTCACGTGACACATGTAACCAAAGGGGAACATGTGAATAACACGTTTTCACAGTACAGTGTCAGGAGGTTTGAGCAACATGTGTTTTTTATTCTTTTTACCTTTAATAAATATCTACTTTGAGCTCAGAGCAACTCGAATCAATAATGTGCCTCTTCTTCATTTCTTAG